GAGACACACCTCACAGGTCCCCCGTATATATGCTCCCAGCGCCGAGCTCATCTCCTGGCACACCTTTATAGAGGGAGACACACCTCACAGGTCCCCCTGTATATATGCTCCCAGCGCCGAGCTCATCTCCTGGCACACCTTTATAGAGGGAGACACACCTCACAGGTCCCCCGTATATATGCTCCCAGCGCCGAGCTCATCTCCTGGCACACCTTTATAGAGGGAGACACACCTCACAGGTCCCCCGTATATATGCTCCCAGCGCCGAGCTCATCTCCTGGCACACCTTTATAGAGGGAGACACACCTCACAGGTCCCCCGTATATATGCTCCCAGCGCCGAGCTCATCTCCTGGCACACCTTTATAGAGGGAGACACACCTCACAGGTCCCCCGTATATATGCTCCCAGCGCCGAGCTCATCTCCTGGCACACCTTTATAGAGGGAGACACACCTCACAGGTCCCCCGTATATATGCTCCCAGCGCCGAGCTCATCTCCTGGCACACCTTTATAGAGGGAGACACAAAGCAATTAGTGGGCCCAGCTGTGTGCTAATTGTCTTTACACTGAGTACCTATCCCCTGAGTACCTATCCCCCCCGAGGAGGGTGCTGTCATGTCGTCTTCCTCCGGCTGGTCATTGAACTCTCACAGTAAGGAATATGGTGCCATTTGGGAAACGAAAATTACACTTTGCGATGAGTGTTTAGTTTCAGGACAAACCATTTGCCTCAAGTTGTAATTTTCCCTTTGATATCTAGCTAACGCTGGACATCCTTTGGCTCGGCTACAAGAAGATTTTCATGGCTTTGGAGTCGGACCTATATCACAAGAAGCATCTCTTTTCATTATAAATCCAGTGACGCTCTTAACTTTTTAACAACTTCCGTTTCTCAAATATCAGACACGGGGCACTTCAGGTACTGTGCAAGCTACGCTCTGTAGTCATGGTGATTTAGCTAGCAGTGACTTAGTTAAAGGCCGTTAAACATTCAGGGTTTCTCTCTGGATTTATGTGCTTGGCAGGAAGCTGGAACAGATTGTGCTCTGTGATGGAGAGAAAGCCTGGGTTGAATGTTTCATGTAGCAGGGAGGGATTATAGCGATCTACCAGGCTTTGACACAGTGTTCTGGTCCAGGATATCTTCCAGGATCTCTTTGGGACACTGCCATTAACTGGCCTGGCTACAAAATCAGGGAAGATGCAGTGTGAGAAGGACTTAAACAGTAAAGGAAGCCCAATCTGCTGGTAAACCAGAGTCAGAGAGAGCCATGGGTGAAGGTGCTGATATGAGTGGAAATGAGCTTTACTGCTAAATCTGGTGCGTTAACATTGATGTGTAAACTTAAAGGTTGATTATTGTGCACTATCCCTTGTCAAATGTAACGTTTTTAACCAGTCCCATTAGAATACTATAATATCTGACGACACAAGATATTGCAGTGACCTTTAACCCAACACCTAGCGACCTCGTCAAGAGGTTTTAGACCTTTTGGCGTAACGGTAAGGTGTTGGCTTGACAGTTGCTGGGCGTGGGTTCGAGTCCCGGTTCGGTCTGTCCGCCGAATTTGCTACGATATTAAAGCGATGTAGAAAAGCTTTGACACAGTGTTCTGTTCTGGTCCAGGATGTCTCATGTCTCTTTGGGCCGTTAACTGGCCTTCAACCTGCTGGCAAGCCAGACTCGCAGAGAACCAAGGCTGAAGGAGCTGATATGAGTGGAATTGGCACAGTCGACCACTACGGATATAAATTAGCTTCACAGCCTTCACAGCATTTATGTGACGCATGAAATGGATTTATATGCACTATCCCTGTCGAATGCATTTGAGACCAGAGACCTTCTCAGACAGATATATCTGTACAGAGTGAACACTGGACCACGGTCACAACCATTATCCTTGGAGGGTTCATTTTTTTAAAAATTATTTTTTATTTAACCTTTATTTAACTAGGCAAGTCAGTTAAGGACAAATTCTGATATCATATTATCAGTTATCTGAGGGTCAAGTCCCTTCACATCTATCTCCTTCCTGGATAAAGTCCAGATAAGTAAGCATCAACTCAAGGCCTTCTAGCCACATTAATTTCCGTACCCGAAATCAGAATTGCTAAATGGCATTTAAAGTCTAAAAACCAAAATAAACATGAGCGAATATCCATTCCGCATACCGGTAACGAAGCGTAAATAATCTGGTAAAGCTGTTTAACTGTAAGGGGCCCATGGGTTAAGTATGTTCCCCCGTGCGTTCCACTGAAGGATAAGGCAATGATAACATTAGCCACAGAATTACTGTACTGACGTATGTTTGAGGAGATCGTTTTTCTTGGAAAACCCTTTACTGTTCCAAAGGTCTCCATGTTCAGTGACATGTTAGAATGTTTCCTGAAGCCTTAAAGCCTCTTTCCTGTTGCGGTTCAGAACATCTGTGACGCAAGCCTCTAAACTAGCCTATGCTGTAGCCTTCACCAGGTTAACTCAACATAGCAGTGGAAACTTGTTTACCTAGTTGACAAAACAGAATCACTGAGACGTCTGCGATAACGAGAACAGCAACGGTCCCAACACAGAGCCTTGTGCAAAACACCACATATTTAGCTTTACAGTTGACGCATGAAAAACATCAGATCAGTTTAACCTCTGTTTCAGTGCAGTGTCTTCTGTCTTCTGTCTCTGTACTGGTTTCCTGCCGTTATACAGCGCGTTCAGAAAGTATTCAGACCCCTTGACTTTTTCCAAATTTTCTTACATTACAGCCTTATTCTAAAATGGATTAAATAGATTTTTCCCTCATCAATCTACACACAATACCCCATAATGACAAAGCAAAAACAGGTTTTTAGAAAGTTTTGCAAATGTACAAAAATAAATTAATGGAAATATCACATTTACATAAGTATTCAGACCCTTTACTCAGTACTTTGTTGAAACACCATTGGCAGCGATTACAGCCTCAAGTGTTCTTGGGTATGACGCTACAAGCTTGGCACACCTGTATTTGGGGAGTTTCTCCCATTCTTCTCTGCAGATCCTCTCAAGCTCTGTCTGGTTGGATTGGGAGCGTCGCTGCACAGCTATTTTCAGGTCTCTCCAGAGATGTTCGATCGGGTTCAAGTCCGGACTCTGGCTGGGCCACTCAAGAACATTCAGAGACTTGTCCCGAAGCCACTCCTGCGTTTTCTTGGCTGTGTGCTTAGGGTCGTTGTCCTGTTGGAAGGTGAACCTTCACCCCAGTCTGAGGTCCTGATCGCTCTGAACCAGCTTTTCATCAAGGATCTCTCTGTACTTTGCGTTCATCTTTGCCTTGATCCTGACTAGTCTCCCAGTCCCTGCTGCTGAAAAACATCCCCACAGCATGATGCTGCCACCACCGTGATTCACCGTAGGGATGGTGGCAAGTTTCTTTAAAAATTTTTAAAACCTGTTTTTCACTTCGTCAATATGGGGTATTTTGTGTAGATTTGATGAGGATTATTTTGTATTTAATCCATTTTAGAATAAGACTGAAACGTAACAAAATGTGGAAAAAGTGAATGGGTCTGAATACTTTCCCAATGCACTGTATATACTATATATGAAACCTCTAAGGTTGTGTCTCTCATGGGACCCTATTCCCTATATAGTGCACTACTTTAGACAAAAGTCCTATGGGCCCTAGTCAAAAGTAGTGCACTACATAGGGAATACGGTGGCATTTGACACCCAGCGTAAGTCTGTTCTCTCACACAGTTTCCTACAGTATCAATACAGACGGTAATTACAGAGTGTAGTCACCCCTTATGGCCCCTTTCATGGCACAGACTCCACTCAGACACGTTTTGGAGGGGTATTTCTCAACCCCTTCGGAGGACAAGGCTGCATCGCAAATGGCACCCTATTCCTTACATAGTGAACAACTTCTGACCGGAAACTCTATGGGCCCTGGTCAAATGTAGTGCACTATATAGCGAATAGGGTGCCGTAGGGTACCATTCTCTGGTCTAAAGTAGTGCACTATATAGGGAATAGGGTGCCATTCTCTGGTCTAAAGTAGTGCACTATATAGGGAATAGGGTGCCATTCTCTGGTCTAAAGTAGTGCACTATATAGGGAATAGGGTACCATTCTCTGGTCTAAAGTAGTGCACTATATTGGGAATAGGGTGCCATTTGGGACTCATGCAGTCCTAGTTTCTCTTCAGCGAATTTAGTTGGTTGTGAAAGCAATGTACCCAAACACGTACAGGGAGAGACTGCAGAATATAAAAGAGGCTGTTCCTATCTGAACCTGAGCCTGTGTCTGGCTTTAGAGATTAACAACGTGTGGACAGCGCTGGGGACTGCCGACTGCTAATGTCCCATTGGGCTCAACGTGTGGACAGGGCTGGGGACTGCCGACTGCTAATGTCCCATTGGGCTCAACGTGTGGACAGGGCTGGGGACTGCCGACTGCTAATGTCCCATTGGGCTCAACGTGTGGACAGGGCTGGGGACTGCCGACTGCTAATGTCCCATTGGGCTCAACATGTGGACAGGGCTGGGGACTGCCGACTGCTAATGTCCCATTGGGCTCAACGTGTGAACAGGGCTGGGGACTGCCGACCATTGAAATTGCCATGATGAGATGACAACATGGAAGTGAAATTCCTCCTCACAGAGACTGTTGGCGTTCAACTGAAGAGCAGGGAAACGAGACCGTTTCAGAGTAAACTAACAGTCAAAATGAAGAGGATTGTTTTTTACCGCTCCTCCTCCTCCTCCTCCTCCTCCTCCTCCTCCTCCTCCTCTTCCTCCTCCTCCTCCTCCTCCTCCTCCTCCTCTTCCTCCTCCTCCTCCTCCTCCTCCTCCTCCTCCTCCTCCTCCTCCTCCTCTTCCTCCTCCTCCTCCTCCTCCGCTGGCTGGTCATGATGCAGTTCCGTTCCTCTGAAGTGCTCTTACACAGCTCACCTCCCGCTGTAATGTCAACAACCTGATGTTTTCTCAACTTCCGTGTTGTCATGAGGTTCTGGCTAACCAGCCATGAAGCGGGGAGGACGTGGTGATGTCAGAACAACACAACCACGTGTAAAGAGGACCGCTAATTCTCCCACTGCACCTTGACCTCTCAGTCAGTCAGTGGTGGTAAACAACCTGATTAAAACGTTGCATTGCCATAGTCAGATGTACAGTCCCAAAGCTGTGTGTTGTGTTGTTGATTTAGTATGTCATGTCTGGCTGGAATTAGAGACATACTCATGTACGTGAAGCTGGGAAAACACCTTTCAGACTCCCTATCCCACAGCACGGGGGGGGCGCCGCAAAGGCCTTTCCCACTACTCTACTCACTCTACGCCAGTGTTTCCCCAACCCTGGTCCTTCAGTTCGGTTATACAAGGCCATCTTGAGTCCCATCCTCTCCTCTTCCATCACCGTCTGGTTTGGGTCTGCGTCTGCCCGCTCCAAGGGGCAACCGTGGAGGGAAAGATCACCCACCCCATCTTCCGAAGACTCCCGGGCAAACAGTTCAGGTCGATCATGACCAAAAACCACCCTCATCAAGCGGCCATCGGGCTCATAAGGACGAAGAGACTTTGCGCTCTGAGCCGAACACTGCACCTCTCTCACTCATGGAATACTAATAACTACACTATATTGCATTAGCACTGTGTACACCTCTGTACAAAACTGTAGATATACAGACAGGTCCAACACGATTACGTCACGGCAGCATCCCCCCCATTGGAGTGGCCATCACAAAGCCCTGACCTCAATCCTATAGGAAAATTGTGGGCAGAACTGAAAAAGCGTGTGCGAGCAAGGAGGCCTACAAACCTGACTCCGTTACACCAGCTCTGTCAGGAGGAATGGGCCAAAATTCACCCAACTTATTGTGGGAAGCTTGTGGAAGGCTACTCGAAACGTTTGACCCAAGTTAAACAATTTAAAGGCAATGCCACCAAATACTAATTTAGTGTATGTAAACTTCTGACCCACTGGGAATGTGATGAAAGAAATAAAAGCTGAAATAAAACATTCTCTCTACTATTATATTCTGACATTTTACATTCTAAAAATAAATTGTGATCCTAACTGACCTAAGACAGGGAATTTTTACTAGGATTAAATGTCAGGAATTGTGAAAAACTGAGTTTAAATGTACTTGGCTAAGGTATATGTAAACTTCCGACTTCAACTGTATGTATTCCCCCCCTTTGCAATGAAGCCCCTACATAAGATCTGGTGCAACCAATTACCTTCAGAAGTCACATAATTAGTTAAATAAAGTCCACCTGTGTGCAATCTAAGTGTCACATGATCTGTCACATGATCTCAGTATATATACACCTGTTCTGAAAGGCCCCAGAGTCTGCAACACCACTAAGCAAGGGGCACCACCAAGCAAGCGGCACCATGAAGACCAACGAGCTCTCCAAACAGGTCAGGGACAAAGTTGTGGAGAAGTACAGATCAGGGTTGGGTTATAAAAAAATATCAGACCCTTTGAACATCCCACGGAGCACCATTAAATCCATGGCCCCGTGTAGCTCAGTTGGTAGAGCTTGGCGTTTGCAACGCCAGGGTTGTGGGTTCGATTCCCATGGGGGGCCAGTATGAAAATATATGCACTCACTAAACTGTAAGTCGCTCTGGATAAGAGCGTCTGCTAAATGACTAAAAATGTAAAAAAATGGAAAGAATATGGCAACAAACCTGCCAAGAGAGTGCCACCCACCAAAACTCACAGCCCAGGCAAGGAGGGCATTAATCAGAGAGGCACCAAAGATAACCCTGAAGGAGCTGCAAAGCTCCACAGCGGAGATTGGAGTATCTGTCCATAGGACCACTTTAAGTCGTACACTCCACAGAGCTGGGCTTTACAGAAGAGTGGCCAGAAAAAAGCCATCTCTTAAAGAAAAAATAAGCAAACACGTTTGGTGTTCACCAAAAGGCATGTGGCAGACTCCCCAAACATATGGAAGAAGGTACTTTTTTAAATTTTTTATTTCACCTTTATTTAACCAGGTAAGCCAGTTGAGAACAGGTTCTCATTTACAACTGCGACCTGGCCAAGATAAAGCATAGTAGTGCAATAAAACAACAACACAGAGTTACATATGGGGTAAAAAACATAAAGTCAGAAATACAACAGAAAATATATATACAGTGTGTGCAAATGTAGCAAGTTATGGAGGTAAGGCAATAAATAGGCTATAGTGCAGAATAATTACAATAGTATTAACACTGGAATGCTAGATGTGCAAGAGATTATGTGCAAATAGAGATACTGGGGTGCAAATGAGCAAAATAAATAACAATATAGGGATGAGGTAGTTGGGTGGGCTAATTTCAGATGGGCTGTGTACAGGTGCATTGATCGGTAAGGTGCTCTGACAAGATGAGACAGTACGCTGGTCAGATGAGACTAAAATTTAGCTTTTTGGCTATCAAGGAATAACTTATGTCACCCCGAGAACACCATCCCCACAGTGAAGCATGGTGAGGGCAGCATCATGCTGTGGGGATGTTTTTCATCGGCATGGACTGGGAAACTGGTCAGAATTGAAGGAATGATGGATGGGTGCTAAATACAGGGGAATTCTTGAGGGAATCCTGTTTCAGTCTTCCAGAGATTTGAGACTGGGACAGAGGTTCACCTTCCAGCAGGACAATGACCCTAAGCATACTGCTAAAGCAGCACTCAAGTGGTTTAAGGGGAAACATTTAAATGTCTTGGAATGGCCTAGTCAAAGCCCAGACCTCAATCCAATTGAGAATATGTGGTATGACTTAAAGATTGCTGTACACCAGCAGAACCCATCCAACTTGAAGGAGCTGGAGCAGTTTTGCCTTGAAGAATGGGCAAAAATCCCAGTGGCTAGATGTGCCAAGCTTATAGAGACATACCCCAAGAGACTTCCAGCTGTAATTGCTGCAAAAGATGGCTCTACAAAGTATTGACTTTGGGGGGGGGGGGGGGGGGGGGGGGGGGGGGGGGGGGGGGGGGGTGAATAGTTATGCACGCTCAAGTTCTGTTTTTGTCTTATTTCTTGTTTGTTTCACAATAAAAAATATTTTTCATCTTCAAAGTGGTAGGCATGTTGTGTAAATCAAATGATACAAACCCCCCAAAAAATCCATTTTAATTCCAGGTTGTAAGGCAACAAAATAGGAAAAATGCCAAAGGGGGGGGTGAATACTTTCGCAAGCCACTGTATCTATATATGCAGAGTTTAATGTTTTATGTTCACTGTGTTTGCAATGTATATTCTGTATGTTTAATATGTTGACTGTGTGTCTGTATTCTGTCTTTACATTGTCTATTGTTGGCAGCACCTATTCCCTAAGTCACATTACGGGGAAATGTACTTGGTGAGTAAAGTGATTGTGATTTTGATGTAACCTCATCAGACAGTTATCCGAAGTAATAAAACACTACATGTAAATCCACATTATTTGCATTCTTGAGATGCACGAAGAATTCTGTTTTTTTCTGGAAAAGGGCTTAGCAGCTTGCATTACAAATACCAATATACCAATACCAATTCTGTGGGAGCCTAGGCAGAGAGCTCTGTAAATATTGTACATATTTTCATTATTTTTAAGTGTTTTTTTGTAGCATTTTTTAAAACATATTTTAGGGGGGGTTGGCTGCTCTACAGGTTGATCACTATATCCTGTGGTCTTCACTCAGAGTTGCAGGATTGTGATGAAAAGTGGCTTCACCCAGGTGGGTGCTACATTCCTGGAGATGGAGGACCAGATCCAGAGGAGAGGCTCCAATGGAGTGACTGACCAGAACCAGAGGAGAGGCTCCAATGGAGTGACTGACCAGAACCAGAGGAGAGGCTCCAATGGAGTGACTGACCAGAACCAGAGGAGAGGCTCCAATGGAGTGACTGACCAGAACCAGAGGAGAGGCTCCAATGGAGTGACTGACCAGAACCACTCCTCCATACAGACCTTCTCCCGTTTCGGGGCTGTCGCTGGGCAATATGGACTTTCAGCTCCCTCCAAAGATTTTCTATTGGGTTCAGGTCTGGAAACTGGCAAGGCCACTCCAGGACCTTGAGATGCTTCTTACGGAGCCACTCCTTAGTTGCCCTGGCTGTGTGTTTCGGGTCGTTGTCATGCTGGAAGACCCAGCCACGACCCATCTTCAATGCTCTTACTGAGGGAAGGAGGTTGTTGGCCAAGATCTCGCGATACATGGCCCCATCCATCCTCCCCTCAATATGGTGCAGTCGTCCTGTCCCCTTTGCAGAAAAGCATCCCCAAAGAATGATGTTTCCAACTCCATGCTTCACGGTTTGGATGGTGTTCTTGGGGTTGTACTCATCCTTCTTCTTCCTCCAAACACGGCGAGTGGAGTTTAGACCAAAAAGCTATATTTTTGTCTCATCAGACCACATGACCTTCTCCCATTCCTCCTCTGGATCATCCAGATGGTCATTGGCAAACTTCAGACTGGCCTGGACATGCACTGGCTTGAGCAGGGGGACCTTGCGTGCACTGTAGGATTTTAATCCATGACGGCGTAGTGTGTTACTAATGGTTTCCTTTGAGACTGTGGTCCCAGCTCTCTTCAGGTCATTGACCAGGTTCTGCCGTGTAGTTCTGGGCTGATCCCTCACCTTCCTCATGATCATTGATGCCCCACGAGGTGAGATCTTGCATGAAGCCCCAGACCGAGGGTGATTGACCGTCATCTTAAACTTCTTCCATTTTCTAATAATTGCGCCAACAGTTGTTGCCTTCTCACCAAGCTGCTTGCCTATTGTCCTGTAGCCCATCCCAGCCTTGTGCAGGTCTACAATTGTATCCCTGATGTCCTTACACAGCTCTCTGGTCTTGGCCATTGTGGAGAGGTTGGAGTCTGTTTGATTGAGTGTGTGGACAGGTGTCTTTTATACAGGTAACGAGTTCAAACAGGTGCAGTTAATACAGGTAATGAGTGGAGAACAGGAGGGCTTCTTAAAGAAAAACTAACAGGTCTGTGAGAGCCGGAATTCTTACTGGTTGGTAGGTGATCAAATACTTATGTCATGCAATAAAATGCAAATTAATTACTTAAAAATCATACAATGTGATTTTCTGGATTTTTGTTTTAGATTCCGTCTCTCACAGTTGAAGTGTACCTATGATAAAAATTACAGACCTCTACATGCTTTGTAAGTAGGAAAACCTGCAAAATCGGCAGTGTATCAAATACTTGTTCTCCCCGCTGTATTCGTAAACCAACGTTATGATGTTCGAGGCATTTTCCTCTCATGAAAGTACTGCTTGTTTTTGAACTCTCACGTCCATGCTTGACCCCAAAGGGCTGATTGCTTAATTAAGTGAGAAGAACATGGCATTGTTGATACCGCTAGCCCGAGTAAATGTGTTTGTTGGTTGTTTTGACTGACACTAAATTGGGTTCAATGCTAGAGGTCCCCATGTCACAACATGTCTCAATGAGCCGTCCATTCAGAACAGGCAATAAAGCAGCCACTCTTCCTTTCAGGACGGAAAATACAGCAGCCCCTCTTCCTTTCATAACAGGCAATAAAGCAGCCACTCTTCCTTTCATAGCAGGCAATAAAACAGAATTCTTCCTTTCAGAACAGGAAATACAGCAGCCCCTCTTCCTTTCAGAACAGGAAATACAGCAGCCCCTCTTCCTTTCAGAACAGGAAATACAGCAGCACCTCTTCCTTTCAGAACAGGAAATACAGCAGCCACTCTTCCTTTCAGGACGGAAAATACAGCAGCCCCTCTTCCTTTCAGAACAGGAAATACAGCAGCTCCTCTTCCTTTCAGAACAGGAAATACAGCAGCCCCTCTTCCTTTCAGAACAGGAAATACAGCAGCCCCTCTTCCTTTCAGAACAGGAAATAAAGCAGCCCCTCTTCCTTTCAGAACAGGAAATACAGCAGCCCCTCTTCCTTTCAGAACAGGAAATACAGCAGCCCCTCTTCCTTTCAGAACAGGAAATACAGCAGCCCCTCTTCCTTTCAGAACAGGAAATACAGCAGCCCCTCTTCTTGGTGATCAAATACAAAAGTATCACAGCAACCCCTATAAACTGTCCCCTCACCCTGCTACCACCCTGCTACCACCCTCCTCCCACCCTGCTACCACCCTGCTCCCACCCTGCTCCCACCCTGCTACCACCCTGCTCCCACCCTCCTCCCACCCTGCTACCACCCTGCTACCACCCTCCTCCCACCCTCCTCCCACCCTGCTACCACCCTCCTCCCACCCTGCTCCCACCCTGCTACCACCCTCCTCCCACCCTCCTCCCACCCTGCTACCACCCTGCTACCACCCTGCTCCCACCCTGCTACCACCCTGCTCCCACCCTGCTCCCACCCTGCTACCACCCTGCTCCCACCCTGCTACCACCCTCCTCCCAACCTGCTACCCACCCTGCTCCCACCCTGCTACCACCCTCCTCCCAACCTGCTCCCACCCTGCTCCCACCCTGCTCCCACCCTGCTCCCCCCTGCTACCACCCCTGCTCCCACCCTGCTACCACCTCCCTCCCTCCACCTGCTCCCACCCTCTCCCACCCTCTCTCCCACCCTGCTCCCACCCGTCCACTCCCCTGCTACCAACCCTGCTCCACCCTGCTACCACCCTCTCCACCTCCACCCTGCTACCACCCTTCCTCCCACCCTCTACACCCTCTCCCACCCTTCTCCCACCCTCCTCCACCTGCACCACCCTGCTACCACCCTCCTCCCACCCTCCTCCACCTCCTCCCCCACCCTGCTACCACCCCTCCCCCCCACCCTGCTCCCACCCTCCCTCCCACCCTTTGCTCCCACCCTCCTCCCACCCTTGCTACCACCCTCCTCCCACCCTCCTCCCACCCTGATCTGGCCTAATTGCTGCTATGCTACTGTATACTTTGAGCTGACATATCTATTGCCTTACCTCCAACTTGCTACATTTGCACACACTGAATATAGATTTTCTATTGTGTTATTGACTGTACGTTGTGTTTACCCCATATGTAACTCTGTGTTGTTGTTGTATTTAAATCGCACTGCTTTGCTTTATCTTGGCCAGGTCGCAGTTGTAAATGAGAACTTGTTCTCAACTAGCTTACCTGGTTAAATAAAGGTGAAATAAAAATAAATATATAAAAATTACTTTCAGAGAGCTTGGTCCAAATGTGAGTGTTAATCTGGCACTCTATTGTTGAAAAGAGATTGATGGTATTGTATGTCCAATATGTTTAGAATGTGGAGAGGCTACATGCATAGATGTGACAGCATATTAACCTACATGTTATACCCTCTGTGTTTTAGATTGAAGGAAAAGTATAGCATGTGCCTTTGTGATTAGGGTCAACATTTTGGCTAAAATTAGGCATTGGCATTTATATGTGGATAAAGGTATTTATAATTCCCTGTGGGGTTTAAGTGCAGTGTTGTGTGATTTTGGGTTCTTCATTATATAGTGCACTACTTTTGACCAAAACCCTATGGGGCCGAATATGGTGCCATTTGGGATGCATATGTTGTATTCATTATAGAGATCAGGAGGTGTTGTAGACGTTGTATTCAGTATAGAGGTTAGGTGGTGTTGTAGACGTTGTATTCATTATAGAGATCAGGAGGTGTTGTAGACGTTGTATTCATTATAGAGATCAGGAGGTGTTGTAGACGTTGTATTCATTATAGAGATCAGGAGGTGTTGTAGACGTTGTATTCATTATAGAGATCAGGAGGTGTTGTAGACGTTGTATTCATTATAGAGATCAGGAGGTGTTGTAGACGTTGTATTCATTATAGAGATCAGGAGGTGTTGTAGAATGTTCTTGTAAAGCGCCGTAGTCCAGAAATCAAATGATCAGCACCTGGCCTTTACCTAAATCAACTGAACATACGCTTGATCTGTAAAGGTATTTCCTTTTGGCCAAGTCCAGCATCATGATGACTACCGATTAGTTTGTAGGCCAATAGGGCTAAGGTTTTCCAGCTTGCAGGTATGTTCTGTTCTTTGCTTGTTTAAGCAGTAGAAAGGCACCGGCTTACGCAGTTAATCCTCTGTTTCTAGAAGCCCACAAGGCATCCACAAGATAGCGCATCCACATTTCCCATCTGCAGTCTTCTTGGTGATGGCTCCCCAAATCAGACCACACTCCTTCCATCTCCCTGTCATTTGTCCTCCTCCTCCCTTTCTCTTTTTGGATGTCCTGGCTTTGTCTTCCCATCAGGTGTCCAGCATGGGAGAGACGGAGACAGAGGGACAGGCCTATCAGACAGGGTCATGTAAGGGCAGGAGGCAGGAATCAGATGTTTCAATGTGTTGTTCTGACAGACTCCACACCAGTTTGTTTGGCCATCAACCACTGAAACAGCTGCAAGAGGCGCCCCAGGGTATATCTGAGAGAAGCGCTCCCCGGGGCTCTCTGTCTCTCTGAGGTGTGGACACGGAGCAGCCAACTAATGCTGAGCACAGTGTTCAATTCTCCGTGTTCAGACCGGGGTTCCCAATAAGAGTTTGGGTTGGACGGAGAAAGGGGAAGTGCTGCCAGTAGAGCTGTGGGGATGCAGGACGGGACAGAGAGACTGTTCCTAAAGCTAAGGGGAAGTGCGGCCAGTAGAGCTGTGGGGGAAGCAGGACGGGACAGAGAGTACTGTTCCTAAAGGACTAAAGGGGAAGTGCTGCCCAGTAAGGAGCTGTGGGTGATGCAGGACGGGATCAGAGAGACTGTTCCTAAAGCTATGGGGAAGTGCTGCCAGTTAGAGCCTGGGGGGGGATGCAGGACGGGAACAGAGAGACTGTTCCCTAAAGCTAATGAGGAAGGGATGCCATAGAGTTGGGGAGTGCAGGACGGGACAGAGATACGTTTCCTAAAGCTAAGGGGGGAAGTGTGCCATAGGGATAAGGACTGTGTGGGGGGGATGAGGTGAAAGGAATGTTCCTAAAGTAAGGGGAAGTGCTTAGCACGAGTAGTCAGCTGGTGGGGGATGCAGGAACGGGACAGAGAGGACTGTTCCTTAAAAGCTAAGTGGGGAAAGTTGTTGCGCCAGGTAGGCTGTGGGGATGCAGGACGGGACAGAGAGACTGTTCATAAAGCTAAATGGGGAAGTGCTTGCCAGTTAGAGCTGTGGGAAATGCAGGACGGGGTACAGAAGAGACTGTTCCTAAAGCTAAGGGGAAGTGCTGCCAGTAGAGCTGTGGGGATGCAGGACGGGACAGAGAGACTGTTCCTAAAGCTAAGGGGAAGTGCTGCCAGTAGAGCTGTGGGGATGCAGGACGGGACAGAGAGACTGTTCCTAAAGCTATGGGGAAGTGCTGCCAGTAGAGCTGTGGGGATGCAGGATGGGACAGAGAGCCCTTGTAGTGGATCAGTGGGACTTGGATCTGACTCAGGGCAGTTGCCTGTACTGGGACGCTCCGTCCCAAATCTGGGTGAGCTGCAGGGAAGTGACATAGTGGTGGAGACTGTTACTGGAGACTGTCCCTAAAGCTAATTTAATACTGTTACTAAAGCTAACTGGAGACTGTTCCTAAAGCTAACTTGATTCTGTTACTAAAGCTAACTGGAGACTGTTCCTAAAGCTAACTTGATTCTGTTACTAAAGCTAACTGGAGACTGTTCCTAAAGCTAACTTGATTCTGTTACTAAAGCTAACTGGAGACTGTTCCTAAAGCTAATTTAATACTGTTACTAAAGCTAACTGGAGATTGTCCCTAAAGCTAATTTAATACTGTTACTAAAGCTAACTGGAGACTGTTCCTAAAGCTAACTTGATTCTGTTACTAAAGCTAACTGGAGACTGTTCCTAAAGCTAACTTGATTATGTTACTAAAGCTAACTGGAGACTGTTCCTAAAGCTAACTTGATTCTGTTACTAAAGCTAACTGGAGACTGTTCCTGAAGCTAACTTAATACTGTTACTAAAGCTAACTGGAGACTGTTCCTGAAGCTAACTTGATTATGTTACTATAGCTAACTGGAGACTGTTCCTAAAGCTAACTTGATTATGTTACTAAAGCTAACTGGAGACTGTTCCTGAAGATAACTTGATTATGTTACTAAAGCTAACTGGAGACTGTTCCTAAAGCTAACTTGATTCTGTTACTAAAGCTAACTGGAGACTGTTCCTAAAGCTAACTGGAGACTGTTCCTAAAGCTAACTGGAGACTGTTCCTAAAGCTAACTGGAGACTGTTCCTAAAGCTAACTGGAGACTGTTCCTAAAGCTAACTGGAGACTGTTCCTAAAGCTAACTGGAGACTGTTCCTAAAGCTAACTGGAGACTGTTCCTGAAGCTAACTGGAGACTGTTCCTAAAGCTAACTGGAGACTGTTCCTGAAGCTAACTGGAGACTGTTCCTGAAGCTAACTGGAGACTGTTCCTAAAGCTAACTGGAGACTGTTCCTGAAGCTAACTGGAGCCAGTTCCTGAAGCCACTCAGTCAGAGGGCCCTGAGAGCTGGAGACACAGGCTGCGTACCTGATGGCACCTTATTCCTTTTACAGGGCACTAAACTTTTGGCCAGGGCCCATAGGGTGCACTACTACAGGACAAGGGTGCCATTTGGGGCGCACTAACAAGGGGGTGGAGAATACAGGGAGACACAGAAAACAGTACACCTATGGGTCCATGTTCATAGAGTAGGATCGCTGATCTAGGACGAGGTCCCCCTGTCCATATAACCTTACTCATTATGATCGAAAAGGATAAACTGTTCTTAGATAAGCACTTCTACTATGAGACACTGTTTTTGAACACAGGCCCAGATCTACTAGCCAACAGATGAATAGCCAACAAAACAGTTGAGTATGAACGAACAGTCTTGTTAACATTTACCAGAAAACAAACAGCTTACCAGATTAGTGATCCGTTGTGGCTTGTACAAGAGACAGATATGATTAGGTCACCAGACAGTGATCTGTTGTTGTCTGTCTATGTGATATGATCAGGTTACCAGATAGTGATCTGTTGTGTCCTGTCTATATGATATGATCAGGTTACCAGATTAGTGATCTGTTATGGCCCCGTCTATATGATCCGATCATCAGATTCATTCCAGCTGTATCAACTCGCATTAAACAAGTTATTGTTGAATTCAAATCTGGCAAAAGCCATTTATCCCCCAAGCCTGGCTGTCTGACTGCTTTCAACAACAATATATGGTCATCTTGCCAAGCAAGACAATGCAAGACAATGGATGGATCCCAAATGGCACCCTATTCCCTACACTACCTTTGACCAGGGCCAATGGGGCTCTCTGGCCATTTGGGATGCAGGCAATGAGTGGACAGGCACCCAGTCGAGGCTAATGGGACACAACACTATTGCCCTGTAAGACTTTCTCTCTCATTTATTCTACTTGTTGAATGTTCAGCATTTCCAAACATCAGTCGTGTTCATTGTGTTAAAACAGTTAATGAAGTTCTGAAACCGTTCGGCCTTTCAAAACCGTCACTTTGTTGTAGGCTTTTGTGGCAGACTGACTGTACTAATCAACACATTCAACTTCTCTTAACATGCACACACACATACGAATGACAGTGTACTCAAGCTGCTTTGTAATATGATGAATGGATTGTCAGCTTTCTGAAGACAGCCAGTCCAGCACCCAGCCACCCTGTTGGTTATGGAGGCTGTCTTTGTGTCCAAGGGATTGGCTGTTCTGCCTGTTGGTTATGGATGATGTCTTTGTGTCCAAGGGATTGGCTGTTCTGCCTGTTGGTTATGGAGGATGTCTTTGTGTCCAAGGGATTGGCTGTTCTGCCTGTTGGTTATGGATGATGTCTTTGTGTCCAAGGGATTGGCTGTTCTGCCTGTTGGTTATGGATGATGTCTTTGTGTCCAAGGGATTGGCTGTTCTGCCTGTTGGTTATGGATGATGTCTTTGTGTCCAAGGAATTGGCTGTTCTGCCTGTTGGTTATGGATGATGTCTTTGTGTCCAAGGGATTGGCTGTTCTGCCTGTTGGTTATGGATGATGTCTTTGTGTCCAAGGGATTGGCTGTTCTGCCTGTTGGTTATGGATGATGTCTTTGTGTCCAAGGGATTGGCTGTTCTGCCTGTTGGTTATGGATGATGTCTTTGTGTCCAAGGGATTGGCTGTTCTGCCTGTTGGTTATGGATGATGTCTTTGTGTCCAAGGGACTGAATGTGGCTGTGCCGTGGGGGCTGATAACCCACTTCCCTCTACAAGCCAAAGAGGAAATACAGTACTCTACTACTACTTTTGAAAAGGAGAACGGAATTGCAAACTCATTTTGTAGTTGTATTTATTACTTAAGAGACAGAGTAGAGAGATCAGAAGAGACATCGTACAGAGATCAGAATAGACAGAGTAGAGAGATCAGAAGAGACAGAGTAGAGAGATCAGAAGAGACAGAGTAGAGATCAGAGGGAGACAGAGTAGAGAGATCAGAAGAGACAGAGATCAGAAGAGACAGAGTAGAGAGATCAGAAGAGACAGAGATCAGAAGAGACAGAGATCAGAAGAGACAGAGTAGAGAGATCAGAAGAGACAGAGTAGAGATCAGAAGAGACAGAGTAGAGAGATCAGAAGAGACAGAGATCAGAAGAGACAGAGATCAGAAGAGACAGAGTACAGAGATCAGAAGAGACAGAGATCAGAAGAGATTGGCTGTTCTGATCTCTGCCTGTTGGTTATGAAGGAACAAAGACATCATCCATAACCAACAGGCAGAACAGCCAATCCCTTGGACACAAAGACATCCTCCATAACCAACAGGCAGAACAGCCAGTCCTTGGACACAAAGACATCATCCATAACCAACAGGCAGAACAGCCAGTCCCTTGGACACAAAGACATCATCCATAACCAACAGGCAGAACAGCCAATCCCTTGGACACAAAGACATCATCCATAACCAACAGGCAGAACAGCCAATCCCTTGGACACAAAGACATCATCCATAACCAACAGGCAGAACAGCCAATCCCTTGGACACAAAGACATCATCCATAACCAACAGGCAGAACAGCCAATCCCTTGGACACAAAGACATCATCCATAACCAACAGGCAGAACAGCCAATCCCTTGGACACAAAGACATCATCCATAACCAACAGGCAGAGATCAGAAGAGACAGAGTAGAGAAATCAGAAGAGACATAGTACAGAGATCAGAACCAGGGAGATAGTATAGAGATCAGAACCAGGGAGACAATATAGAGAGATCAGAACCAGGGAGCCAGTATAGATGGAGCAGAACCAGGGAGACAGTATAGAGAGATCAGAACCAGAGAGACAGTATAGAGAGATCAGAACCAGGGAGACAGTATAGAGGGAGCAGAACCAGGGAGAGGGTATAGAGGGAGCAGAACCAGGGAGACAGTTTTGAGAGATCAGAACCAGGGAGACAGTATAGAGAGATCAGAACCAGAGAGTCAGTATAGAGAGATCAGAACCAGGGAGACAGTATAGAGAGAGCAGAACCAGGGAGACAGTATAGCGAGATCAGAACCAGGGAGACAGTATAGAGAGAGCAGAACCAGGGAGACAGTATAGAGAGATCAGAACCAGGGAGACAGTATAGAGGGAGCAGAACTAGGGAGACAGTATAGAGGGAGCAGAACCAGGGAGACAGTTTTGAGAGATCAGAACCAGGGAGACAGTATAGAGAGATCAGAACCAGAGAGACAGTATAGAGAGATCAGAACCAGGGAGACAGTATAGAGAGAGCAGAACCAGGGAGACAGTATAGAGAGATCAGAACCAGGGAGACCGTATAGAGAGAGCAGAACCAGGGAGACAGTATAGAGAGATCAGAACCAGGGAGACAGTATAGAGGGAGCAGAACCAGGGAGACAGTATAGAGAGA